TTTTTTTTTTTTCACTTGAAGTTTTTCTCTTTATTTTGTTATTGCTATTGGCTTTTTTTTAGGTTTTTTTGTATGTTTTGCTTTATATGAAATACAGGAGAGGTAAATCTATAGAGACAGTGACTAGATTAATAGTTTCTTAGAGTTATGGCAAAGAAAAACAAACCAAACTCACTGTCCTCCAGTCAATGCGGACTTATAGCAACAATATGGGACCGGGTAACTGGCCCCGTGAGCTTCCGAGACGGTAACTGTTGACAAGAGGAGAAAGCTCCCTCCTTTCTCCCGCAGAGCAGCTGGTGGTTTAGAACTGCGGACCTTGCAAAATGCAGCCCAAACTCATAGCCACTACGTCACCAGGGCTCCCTTATGGCAGGACAGTTGGGAGGAAATGGGTAGCCAATGATGAGTTCAACCATGGAGAAAATTAGTCAAAAATGACTGGTAATAATTGCACAACTCTTTTTAATATGTCTAAACCACTGAATTAAACAAAAAATGTGAATTATGTCAATAAAACTTAAAATTTTTCTAAAAGTTAAAGCTTCTGCAAGTCTACGTAAAATAAATAAACAAAGCTATGTCCATCCTAGACCACTGGTCATTAAGCTCACTTCTAGTTATTCCACACTGGAAGAAAGAATTGGCATTTCCGGGTCCGATAATTGAATTTGTTTCCCTTATTCAAGAATCTCAGTCACTTAGGTCACACTTCTATTTTACTAAAGACAAAATCCATTTATATCTGTAACGCTTACAATCTTGCTGTTGGGCGATGTTGGGTGGCCTCCGCCTCACAGTGACCCTGTGTACAACAGAAAGCACTGCCTGCTCTTAAAATGTCTAATTTTACATAAGGGCATATTCAAGTCTCTTTCTTCTTAAAAAAAACAACAAACTAACGTATGCAGCTGCCAAAAGGCAAAACCAACTATATGTCATCATTGCTGAGGCTAAAAACATTTTATTCCATAATTTTTTGAATACTATAGCACAGCAGTAGGGAGACCTGATGGTGTAGAGGTTACGCGTTAAGCTGCTAACCACAGGGTCATCTGTTCAAAACCACCAGCTGCTCTGCGGGAGAAAGATGAGACTTTCTAATCCTGTAAAGAGGTAGTCTCTGAAACCCACTGGGGCAGTTCTACCCTGTCCTATGGAGGTCGCATTGATTCCAGGGAGCTTTGTTTTGGATAGCAGAGCAAGAAATTACTCCTTTCTTCCACTAGGTGGCCCCTGAGCTATTTGTCATTGTAGCACTGAAGCTAGACACTATCAGAGCTAGCAAACACTTTAGACGCCTCTGTTCTATGTATCTAGTAGTAAAAGCCACCATTATCTTTTAAATTCAAGGTTCATTAGTCATCCAGCTTCCTCTTTCATTATTTAGGGAGTCTACTGAGTTTACCCTCTGTTTTAAGAAAGCAAGCAGAAAACCAAGGAGCTCAATTAGACTGGGGGAAGCATTTGTATGCCCAGCCCTAGTGAAAATAAATTTGGAATGTGAATGAGATAATTTTAGCTTTCAGTCCCTTTAAGAGGAATGTTATTCTTTATAGCTTTTTCTCATTACCGATTTCAGAATTAAGGGTCCTGTTTCCAGTCTAAAATGTCTGCTTCTCCAATACAAACAAGGTCAAGGCAGGAAACCAACTTGATTTGCAAAAGAAAGAACTGAGGGATGCCAACACCAATGAGTAACCACCCAGGAAGTCTGGAATCCTGGTGATTTTAACATATGTATTTTGAGAATTCACTTGTGACTTCGTACCAAATAATGCTTTTCCTACTGTGCAAGTAATACATGAATCAATTTTCTATAAATAACTGGCAAAGTATAGTCTAGAGGATCCAAGAAATCTGTCCCTCAGGACTCATCCTTTCTGTATACAGAAGCACTGATGCCAATGCAATTTGTGCTTTGCTCTTACCCACTTGCCATTGCATAGATCCATGTGCATCTCTGCAGTAGAGCTGGCCAGGGAGCAGCAGTATCCCTGAGCACATAAAATACATTTCCAGACTCACTTGGTCCCAAGTACCTTGGTGTGTCTTTGCAGGCCTAAAAGGTATATTTGCGTACTCTTATGAGCAATAACTTATTTAACCTTCAGTGCTAATGCTCATTTGAAAATGGAATCAACAAAGCACAGGGTAAGACTCCGTTTCCAGAAGTCTTTCCATTGTCTGAGAATCTTGAGAAGACACTGAACCCACACACCCCACAGGACAAAGCAGCACTGCCTTCAGAGTTATAAGTCTTTACAGAAGCAGACTGCCAAAGCTTTCTCCTGTGGAATGCCTGCTGGGTTCAAACTACTGATCTTCTGATTAGCAGCCCCGTGCTTAACACGTGGAGCCACTAGGGGTTCATTTGGGAAGAGAAATTTATTTGAGAAGACCAAACCCAAGCCAAACTCACTGCCATCTAGTCAATGCTGACTCATAGTGACCCCAAAGGACAGGGGCGAACTGCCCCTGTGGATTTCTGAGACTGGTGGTCTTGACCTGGGGTTAGCAGCCCAAAGGATAACCACTCAGCCCCCAGAAGACAAGGGGTTTAAGTGAGCACGGGAGAGGGGAACGGTAGATAAGCAGTCCAGGTTGCATATGCTTTATAACCATGAATACTAAGGCATAAGGTAGGATAGTTTCTCTGCATATCTCTAGGCTTACAATCACTCATGGATTACCTATGTGCACATAATATTTCAGGGCTTACCTGCAACCACAGACTCTTTGGGGACAGATCATTTGGAAGTAATCTAGACCAACAAGGCACCTCCAATCCATACCCCATGACTATCCGTCCTAGCACATCTCAGTAAATCTTGATACGATTATAAATAATTTCTAATATCAGACTATTAATTCAGTATGTTGATTAAAGCCATGGAACAAGACAAAGCTTTTATCTCCTCTCTGTTTCTCTGGTTGGAACAGAAAACAGATTGATGCATCTTGGCTCTGGAACAAGGCCAGTGGCTGTAAACTGGAATTTCCCAGCAATGCTGTGAAATCATGACAGATTGAATGACTTGCTGGTAAAGAGATGGAAATTTTCTTCTCAGGAGCTGGAAGTGAAGCCTTTCGGGTTCAACCTGAAGTGACAGTCCCCCTCTATTGACACAGAAATTTGGAGTTTTTCCCCAGCTGCATTTGTTCTATGGCTCCTTATCAGTGTTTTCCAAGGTCTTCATAAATACGGAGATAAGGGGATTGGTGGTCAAGACCTTATAAGGAGATCTAAGTCTATGTTAGTAGTTGTTGGCTATCCCAATATCCATTCAAGGTGTAATAGTTAAGCTTTGAAGTGACAACCTAGTTAGTGAGGATAATGCTGTAAGAACGGGACTGCTATCCACTTGCCTGTATACAGAGAGAGCAGATAAGCGTTCCTTCTTGTGCAAGTAGTTCAATCTTGACGAATATTTATAAAGGATAACATCCAAGAATGATACTTCCTGGTCTGGCAAATAAAGGGGAACTGTTTGGCTCGGTGGCAGTGAGTGAGTAGTACTGTTCAAACAGGAAGTGTTCACCATTTGCCTAAATAATAAATTTTATAGATAACTGGGAAGATGTTTAAAAGGGTTGGGCTGGTATAGAAAGTGATGATACTGTATATATTTTCATACTACTAAAGAAAAGAAAATAGTAGTTTTCCACAGGGAAATTCTTTTTCAATAATTGAACCAAGAAACCGGATGAAATTTTAATATGCTTATTTGTACTTTTAATTCTTAATGAAGCATTTGCCTTCCACCAGTACACACAATCCATGACAAATTTCCTTGGTAAGAAGTCATCTATATCGCATTTTCAGGGAGATTAGTAATGGAGGATCAGAGATGCGGAGTGCCTTCATAGAGCACACACCCCAGCTCTCCTCCTAACTGCCTCCCTGGATGCTGAGCATGCAGAAAATGTCTGCAGGAGGAGGACCAACTACATTTCTAGAAACACTTCTTGAATCTTGAAGAAACAGAAAAATAGGGAATGATCACGTTAGGTTTTCGAAATTTCTACAAGCCTTTTGGAACCTGGTGGGAAGAGCTATAAACGTTGGAAAAGATATACCGGTCCTACTGAATAAAGATGAATTTATCTTTTGAGATTGCAAATGTGCAACTTGAGATTTCAAATGTAACAACTGAAAGGGAAGGAACACCCTCCAGACAAAGGCCAGCACTTCACAGGACCCTTCCTTAGCCCACAGGGCCCTGCTGGCAGTGGCCAGAATGGAGCATCATTCAGGGAAGGAAGTAATTCACAGCTCAATGAAGACTCGCCTCAAAGTTAGATTTCGATCAACTGGGATTTCCATTGACTTGATTCAATTTTTAAAAAAGTTCTTTCTCTTTTCTTTTTGTTTATGAACTGTTTAAATCTAGGCCATCCTTGTCCTCCTTTTAGGGTACACTTTCGTGGGGGAAAATGCTTCCCTTTTCCACGACATATATATTTTCATACTAGTAAAGTATAAAATGCATGCGCATTTCCCTTCTAAATGGACTACATTCAACTTAGCCAACCAACAAAGATTCACTGATTCCTATAGGAAAGACAGTCTCAATGAGTTCTATCCCTCATGGAACCTGATTGTAACTGTTCCTTTTCCAAGGAGCTCTCTATTCTTCTTTGTTTTTAATGACTTACATTCTTGAATCAAGTCAAGAGTTAACACTAAATTTGGAAGCATTCCATTAGAAATTCTTTTCTATCTCATTATTTAATATTTCAAGGTGGACTTCACAACAGAAAAGGAAGGCAAAATGAAACCCCAGTACTGTCACTATTACCTCATCTGCTTTCTTTTCTCCTGCTTTCGACGACGGTGATCCACTTGTTTTCTCACTGGCATGCTATAAAAAAAGATAAAAAGATCTTGTTTACCAGAGGAAGGTGACAGACAATATAACCATCATTTATTCCGAAAAGGCTGAATGCAGAGAGTTTAAAGGCATTGACCCCTTTGATCTATGTCCAGAGAATGTTGGTAATTCTACACCGACACCAGTGACTTTCAGAAATCAAGGGGAGTGACAGCTCTTCATTGGGGATCTGGAAGTCAGTCTTTAATTAACCAGATGAAGATCTCATAGTAATGTCGAGGCAGAGTGTTGTCTCCCACAAAATAACTCATCGTATATTAAAGCCCAAATTGCCATCACGGAGACATCTGTTTCATCGTGCAGATGCGATGTCTAAAGACCATGCTGAACTTGAAGCTATACTTAAACCTAAGTTGGGGTAGAGTTAAGGGAGGACAACGGCATTCCAAGTCACTCATTAGTTCCCATGGCCCTTGGGAATTCCCTAGAGTTCTACCACTTGAGAAGTCACCAATTCAGAAAGATACAACCTCAAGTGGCAAGGCCCTATCTTCTATTTATCATGACTTTAGGTTTTTAATTAGGAGTCTCGGTGGCTA